TTTTTTTTTTTTTCCCCCAAAGCCCCAGTAGATAGCTCTATGTCATAGTTGCACAACCTTCTAGTTGCTGTATGTGGGATGCTGCCTCAACATGGCCAGAGAAGCCGTGCGTCAGTGTGCGCCTGGGATCTGAACCCGGGCCGCCAGTAGCAGAGCGCGTGCACCCAACTGCTAAGCCACCAGGCCGGCTCCCCTAAGTGAATTTAAACCCTTAGCATGTTTCCAGTTAAAATCCTAACAGGATACTTGGGGGAAGTGATCAAAATGATTCTGAAAGTCACATGGAAAAATAAACAGGCAGGAATAGAAAACTTGGAAAAAGGGACAATTAAATTAAGTTCTATCCTACAACAAATATCATTGTCTGCTATGTGCTACACATTGTTCTAGGAATTGAAAATACAGTGATTAAAAAAAGACTACAATGAGAGATGCCTAGTTTATAAAGATATAATACAAGTGTAGTACTTGTAACCAGAAGAGAAAGATCAGGGGTGGAACATAACTCAAAGCCCAGAAACAGACCCAAATAAGACGTAGTTGGTATTTTAAAACTAGGGATAGGATGGACTGTTTAACAAATGCTGTTGGCATAATGAGTATAGACATTCAGAAAAGGAGTAAAGTTGGATCTTTACCTCACAATATCTAACAAGATAAATTCTAGAATGGTTTAGAATGAAAAGAAAAGCCAGAGAAGTAAAATAAAATTTATGTGAAAATTAAAATAATCTTGGAGTAGAGAAAGCTTTTCTAAGGAGAAACCATAAGGAAAAGATGAAGAGACTTGACTACACACAATTATTAAATTTTTCTACGTCAGTACACAACATACAGTACTTTTAAGATTATAGTTTACAAGTGCTATCTTTCCTTATATAAAGAGCTCTTCAAAGCAACAGAGATAAATACCTAATAATTCATCATACGAAGTCAATAACAAGACACCTGGCTAACATGACATAATACTGAATTTCACTAGTAATCAAAGAAATATGAATTAAAACAAGACGATTTATCACCTGTCAAACTGGCAAAGATTTAAAAATTGTAAATACCCAACATAGTTAAATGAAAAGGGAAAGCAATAGGAATGTACAACTTGCAAAACTTTCCTGAGGGCAATTTGGTTATAGCAAAAGCTTAGAAGTGCACTTTTGTGTGTGTGTGTGGGGAAGATCAGCCCTGAGCTAACATCTGCCAATCCTCCTCTTTTTGCTGAGGAAGACCGGCCCTGGGCTAACACCTGTGCCCATCTTCCTCCACTTTATATGAGACACTGCCACAGCATGGCCTGACAAGTGGTGCGTCGGTGCGCGCCCAGGATCCAGACCCAGGCAGCCAGCAGCAGAGTGCGCGCACTTAACCGCTACGCCATGGGGGGCCGGCCCCAGAAGTGCACTCTTTAGACCAGCAATTCCAAAGAAATTATGTATGTCTGTATGTATGTATACATATATTTATGTAGTGTTCCATCTCGTTATTTATAATAGAAAAGTTAGAAATATTTTGTGTCTAGTAATAAGGAATTGTTAAATTATGGTTCTTCTATCAAGGAACTATTTACAACAATTAAAAAAAAGGTAGAATTTAATTACTGACAGAAGGATGTTCATAATATATTATTACATAAAAAAATCTAATTCAAAAGCTATGGGCAGTATAATCCCATTATTTTAAGAAAAAAATTTTAAGAAAAATATTTTAAGAAAAAAATATGAATGCATTCATATACATCATCAAAGGCAAAGTATTAATGGTGGTTACCTCTGGATGTGTTCCTACATTTTCAAATATGTACAAATATAAAAAGGAAAAAATAAGGGTTCCAGGTGTTAAGCTTTGTCAGTAAAACATGGCACAGTGGATAACAAGAGGTCGTCTTTATCTCTAAGAGTCTGTTCTGGATATAAGAAAGAAGAAAACAAGGCTAAAAATGGCCTGGAATTCTTATGACAGTTTATTTACAGACTATCAAATACAGCCTTTTGTTGTTGTTGTTAAACAAATGGCTTCTATTAAATACATTCAACAGTTACAAGACTTTACTAAAAGTTCTTGCAAAAAAGTACACCTTTACAACGAATTAACTTGTGAAAAAAATTTAAAGGGCGATTCACTACAGAGACTTAAATTTTGAATGCAATTAGAACTAGAAAATTCTTTTTTAATGGGACATTTGATATGGTAAAAGGAGTAAGATCCACAAAATTTGTTAGTCTTCATAATTCAAAGGGCAAGTTCTTTCCATTATGATAAAAATTTTGTTTTCCCCATCTTCAATTGGATCTCTTGATAGCTTGTTAGTTATTAATCGCTTTTATTTCTAATTAAACTAAAAACAGTTTACGGGATTATCTAGAGAGGCCTTTGGTAAATGACAGACTATTGCTCCCCTTATAAAACCACTTGACATTATAAAACCTTGAAAGAATTTAAAAGCAATGTTTGCAGGCCTGCTATCAATCTTCCTCCTACAAACAGAAAATATTTTAATGAAAGATCCAGTCTTATTACCTAATTGTTAGATATTTACACTGTTGTCCTTAAAAAAACGAGGAAACTCCTTTTTAAAGACTATCCATATATGAAACAAACAGTCTCTAAAGGCTCCTAATTAAATACGTTTTCTAAAATTTTTAGTTTATTTCCCTATTTTTTCTGAATCATTGACTTTTTTAAGCCATCTGTGTTAAACTAGTTGTTCAGTGTTCTAAAGTTATTTTATTTTACTATCACACTGATAAGTATTTTAACAGTCAATTTTCTTATAAAAAGTTACGTATTTACTTCAGAATTTAGATATGGCTTAGAGAAACAAGCACTGGCAATCCATCTCTAAAGTCTCATTTTTCTTAGCTGTTAAAGTGAGGCGATGGACTAGATGATTTTAGATTATTGGAACATCCTGTTCAGACTTTAAAAATATCAAAACCAGCATCCCAGGAAATCAGTAGTTCTTATTCAAAACTTTTATTTCAACTTCACTTTTAAAAAAAGTGAAAAATCACCTAAAATTGGGTTAAGATCACAGCAAATATAGCAAAACTTGACCTCAGAAGTACCAGTGTTAGTTTAGAAGCATTTAACCCATTTACCTTCCATTTTTCTCAAGAAATCTTTGTATTAGAAGCATTTAACCCATTTACCTTCCATTTTTCTCAAGAAATCTTTCTATTTCCTACAAATCAGCCTATTGCAAACCGGCGACATGCAACTTAAAATTTGTTTTCATCCAGTTTCCAGTTGTTCTAGTTCTTTCCAGAACTTTCTCTATTCAAATTTGACAGTAAAATTTTACAGACACTCACATTTTTCATTTCTCACATTCACTTAAATGTAATTTGGATACAGCTGAGAGTAGCCAACACCACTAGCTCTTCCAGACACTTTTTAAATCTTCTTGCTCACTGTCAGCCCACTACAAGTATGATTTAATGCCTTTCATGTTATTGATGTGTCTCAAGTACTAAAATAGTACCTGGCACTTGCGAGGCACTGAATATATACTGACTGACAGAATGAAGCTCTGAATCCCAGCTAAAGCATTGTCTTAATTCACATTTCACAAACTATTTTAATCAATAAACCCCTTCAAGTGAGTCTTTTAAAATTTCATGGGTGATTGCAACTCTCCAGCAAATAACGGATTGAAGACTTGGGAAATACACTAAGTTGCATGCAGAAAAACTTGCTGTGTCAGAAAATACAAAAGGGAATTTCACAAGGGAGATAATAAATATTTTCTTCTTTTGGTAGGTCAATCTTTTCTATTTTCATCTTCTTATTTGCAATCTGACTTACCTGTTTATTCCCCAAAAACTTTAGCAATATTTTATGTTCCTTAGATTGCACTTAAGAATACTCAGTGATTACTGCAGTTATTATAACCTACAGAATTAGTCGTTTCTCATTTTATTAATCCAAATCCACTAAAGTATTAAATGGTAGGGAAGGATGCATTAAGATTTTTACTACCATATTCATCAATTTTAAGACAAATTCTTTCATATAATAATATCTCTAAATTTTGGAATTATCTTACAATGGATGCATCTTAGCATTGTGTTGTGGTTAACTGGCAACATTTTTGCTAAGTGGTACATAAAAAACTGGTGTCTCACATCAAAGCTGTCTTAGGGTAATATTAGAAGCTGTAGTTCAAATTTTCAATTTCAAGCAACAATTTCCCTGTCCTCCCAGCCACTCTCCCAACATAAATATATAACTGAAGTGTTTAATTGGAAAAACTATCCAAACACAGTTCAATTTTATATAAAATATTTAATTTTTAAAACACAGGCTATTCATGTCACATAAATATCTTCAATTTTAGGTTAGCTGCTATAGTCAGCAGAATTATCAAGTGTGACTATTAAGAATAACTTAGATACTGTCACTTATAGCTCTAAGACTCACCATATTAAAATTTCAGATACTTGAATACTGTAGCTATTTTGCTAAATTTCAAAATATTTCTTCACTTCCTGCAATGTAGTTTTTATTATAAGTTGTTAGTACTCAACATTCAAATAAAAGCAAAATAATTTTTTCTTTCATTCATTTCTCCCCAACAAGAAAAAAATTCCATCAAAAAATAAAACAGTCAACTGACATCAACTCATTTTATAGCAGTAAAATGGTAAATTATCCACTTTAAAATACCCTTACTGTCCCCAAACTAGAATGTTTCCCATATACTGTTTTGAAATGAAGGTTCACAAGTCAGATAAGAGGGCACAAGGTTAAAAGACTGACTTTAGAACTGGAGCAATTTCCACTCTATAATAGTTGTTCCAATTTTGAGATTCCAATCAAAAAATAAGTTACCAGGAGAACAATTAAAACAAATGGTTAATTGGCACAACTCTCATTTCCAGAGTCTATTTTTGCAGTTAGTGATAATGGAAACACTGGTTATTTACCTTTGGTTCCTTTCTAGAATTATTGTAATTGTGTGTGTGCGCTCATGAACAGTTAGACTTGACACCATGACAGTTTAAATAAGGGCTAGCCCATCCTTCTTTGTTGCTTCTAATAAAAGAAAAAATGTTACAATGAACTAAAGTTGCTCTAAGTCTGGCAGAAGTCATAACAAATCTCACAGAAGGTGAGGGAAGGAAAAGAGGGTTTCTTCTCACTACTTTTTCTTTTTGCTTCAATAAATTCAATCTAGGCAATGTTTCTGGTTAACAAGTAAAGTGAACAGAGTTAATTTTTTCTTAAAATGGCAACTGTATAACTTGAAATATGGTGTTTGCCACCTCTCTCCCCATGAACTTCAATAGATTTATGTAAATTCTGTTATTATGCCTTGCTTCTATGCTACTGCCCTCCAATTATGCATGGCAAAAGGAAACAGGGACAATATGGCAGCCTGAAAGAAAATGGTACTCTAAAATTCTCATTTAGCTCTTACTTTCAACCATTTAAATGACAAAACTTTTTAGAACTTCTCGGAAGTAACAAAAGGTACTGATTGCAGTTCTACTCCCTTTCTTTGTTCTCCTCTATCAAGAGAAGGTGGTAGTGGAAGGTAACAGAGCCCAAAGACAGGCAGAAAAGGAGAAAGTGTGATGGCAGAGGGAATGGATCTAATAGGAACTGAACAGGCAGCCCCTAAACATGTGAGAGCTCCCTGCCTCTTCAATACAATGCATTGATTCCCTTTAGAAGACAAATGGGTGTAAAGGTTAACTACTTTTTCAGACCTTAAGCTTACCTGTTAAGGCACTTACTTACCCCTCCCCAGCCCACCCATAATTTTCATATAAAACCCACTATTTCATTTGAATGCATTTTGCTAGGCTATGATAATCTGCAAAATAAAACAAAAATAACGTTGACCATTTTTTTTTATAAAACTGTTGCATCAAGAGAAAGGTTGTGTTTTATTTTCTGAAATGAGCACAAAGTACACCTTTCACAATAACACTGAAAGCAGGTGCAAAGACTGACAGTGACCTTTGACTAAAGGTAGCTTTGTAAAAAGAAAAATACCAAATAAATCAGTGCCCTTTCTGATTGTTGTAAAACTGGAGGGGGGAGGAGTTGGTTGGTTGTTACATAAAAGTTGGTCCAAACTTACAAAAAAAGCACAAATGTGCATAGTTCAGAAGATCTGCAGAGGGCCATAAAAGACTTTTATGTCCCTAAGATTAGCATCCACTTAAAACTGCAAGAATACAAAATAAAATTGTTAACTAGAATTTGTGAAGATGTACAATTAATAGATCTAGTTTTTAGAACAGCATGAATTTAAGCAAAGGTTTTTTTGTCTTTTTTTTAAACTATTGTATGCAAGACCCTTTTCCACATAAAAATAAAGCTGTTGTTGAATTAATATTATTCAAGTCTCTTGGACTGCTGCCTTAAATTGCAGCTAGAAAAGTCTTTCCAGATAAAAATGATGTGCCTGAGGAAAAACAGATACTCAGTATGGTAACCCTCTGCCTCGACCTCTGCCAGTTGATGTGCTAATGTGTCCCCTGTATCCTTGTGAATATCCAGGTCCTTGGGCAGGAGAAGTCCAGGTTTGTCCATGCATGAGGCCGGGGCCACCCGGGTTTTCCTGTAAGTTACCACCATAGTTATAGTTGTGCATCTTTGCTGGCAAAGGATGAGTACTCTCTGGCCCTGTGGAAGGGTCACTGCTGTTTGCCAGGACTGCAATGGGGCCATGGCTATATTCAAATCTATGGTCCTTGTCTCCACTAAACAACATGGGACCAGTATTGAGGTAAATGTCTCCATATCCAGCTACTGAACTAGGAAATGACTCGGAAAAGGCAGAAGGCTGAGGTGGACCACCAGAATGAGATGAAGTAGTACTGTAGTTATCCAAAGACTGAATATCTGAGTTTCCAATGAAGCTACGTCGTTCCAATGGTGGAGCGGAGCTACCTCCTAGACCATCATTGCTAACATAAGGACCAGAAGAGAAAGAAGAAGATCCAAAATTGTCCTTGTAGTCTGAAGTGGGTACATAAGTGTCTCCTACTTGGTAATCAATACCGCCTTCTCTTTTGGGATCCTCCTGGGGCTGATGCTGAGCAAGAAGCTGTAACAGCGCTGCTTTCACTCCGGCATGAGGGTCAGTTAACGAAGAACTAGTGGTGGGTACATGCTGGTTTTCTGTCCGATAATCCAGATCTTCTTCGGTGACTGGTGGTGGTTCAGGTGGTTCAGGAGGTCGTTGATCAGGAGGCAGAATACGAGGCCGGTCTGGTTCTGGCGTGAGCTCCAATATCCTCATATCTTGGTGCTGAATGAGGTCATCTTGCCCTAAGTGAAACAAAGCAAAAAAAGAGAGTCAAAAGTTACCATGGAAAACTAAATGTTCAAAATAGTTGATGTTTCCTATGGGTGGTCCTAAAGATCATTAGAAGTTCCATCTCTGGCCAAAAAAAAAAAGGGAAGAGGTATATAAGTACTAATATTACCTGCTACCATTTAAGTCTATGGTGACTGAAAAACTTTATTGTATTTGACTTTTCAAAGGTATGTCACATATACCTATTTATTGCTTGAAGAACAAAAGCTACTGTATACATAAAGTTTCTGCCTTGGTCAATCATCCTGTTTTAGTTGGAGTAAAAGATTATTTCTTAGCGATACGTTTACGTGAAAAAATCTATGGCATCCATAATGAGTTATATCACACGTGGATAAACAAAGAAACCAACCTATAACTAGTGACCTGAAAATTTTCAGGACACCTAGCAACGCCACTGAACAGTACACATTATAGATAATCATGGATAGCAAGAAAACAGTGTGAACACAGCCGTGTTAGTGGTCTGCTATCTGCACACTCACCCGATACCGGAGTGCTAGGTTCTGGAGGTGGCCTGAGTTGTAATGATGCTTCGTGTCCCGATCCATTCTCCCTCTCTTCTAGTAGCACGTCTTTCTGCTTTGACTGCTGAGCCTTTATTAACTGAGTCAACAGAACTGCAAATGCACTCTGCACAGCCGCCTGGGTAGCATCAGTCTCCACTTTAGGCTGGATGCTCTGAGAAGAAGGCTGAATTCCTCCCAATGGTTTCGAAGACTCCTGTTGCGGTGTTGATGGATCCGTCTGTTTTTCACCTGTTACCAAAATTCCAGCAGGAAGGTTTATTTTATTTAGCTGCTGCTGAGTCTCAGAGTTTACCTTAATGTTCGACACTTGGACAAAATCAGCCATATTAACACTTGTTTTAGATTGTAGTAGGTTTAGTAGAATTGCCAATTCACTGTGGTTTAATTGTTGTCCAGGGCCTGTTGTTACTAAAGACAAAATCTGTATTAATCAGAATTCATAATTCAGAGCTCTCCTCTGCCCCCCAAAATGGCTCTGTATTACCCTATTAAAATGCACATTTGTGGCTCAGTGTTTAAGAAATACTGTGAAAAGGGAATCTCAGTCTAGTTCAATTTCATGTACATTTAAGACGTAACTGCACATAAATTTAAACAAAAAAGAAAAAGACTTGCAGTCCATTTTGAATAAATTATTTTTAGGGGTAAATACTTTAAAAGGAAAATCAAGACTACCACTAGAACCCCATACTATAGATATAATCAGGAAATATCACCTATGAATGGGAAATAGATGATGATGACAGCTACAGTGTCAGGTACTTTCTAAATATTTTATTTCCTTTATTCCTCACAACAACCTTATAAGGCATAGCTCTATTATTAGCCCCATTTTTTTTTGCTGAAGAAGAAACTGACATCCAGGGAGACTAAATAACTTGCCCAAGGTCACAAACTCTGTAAGTGGCAGAGATGAGATCTGAACCCAGGTATTCTGATTCCAGAGTCTCAGCTCTTAACTACTCACTGTATTGCTTATCTGAAATAATGCTTATTATCTAAGAACCTAACTTTACCTTTGCAGTAAATTCAAACTAGGATGTTGTAGACTCTTTGATAAAATGTATTTTAGTTACTTTTTTTTAAGTTAAGTCACTTTGGGTAAGTTAGGAACTCCTACAGAAGCATGCTTACAATGTGCATATAAGATGGTATTAACTCATCACCAGTACAACAGAGTCAGTTGTTTTTCTTTTTCCAATTTTCAGTTTAGACTTGTGACAGATTACACAGGCTCTTGTGCAAGCTTATCTGAGTCATATATAACAACGAGGCTTAAATGCATACAATACTATATATGTTAAGAGATAGTATAGACACTGAAAAGCAATTTTCATAACCGCATATGACAGACTAATAGAAGAGAAACCCCAAGAAGATGAAACGCTGATGATTAATGCTATCTTTTTATCTTTTCTCCTTATATATTTTGAGATACTTTTTATTATTTCCTAATATTATTTTTAGATTAATTCAAAACAAACTTTTGCAAGTTCTTCTTGTAACCTGCAGACATTAATAAGGATCCAAGCTTGTTTACTACACCCCAAGAGTCAGTTTTTCTCATTTTCCCTTTCATTTCTCTATTAGCAGAGGCAGTCTCTGAGTGAGCTCAGAGAAGTTATTCTTTAACTATGGTGTCTCCTCTCCACGAGGGGCATTTTCTTATTTCAAGACACTGATGATGAAGAAAACAGAGCAAAGAGGATTCATTCCTATTTCAAAAAACCAAAATTCTCACTTCTTAATAGTAACAGTTACCAAAAAAAAGGAAAACAAAAAATAAAAGGAAGCTCTCAACCATCAATAGGGTTGTTAAATAGGTTAGAGCTAAGAAATAATAACAAAATGAGCTCAGAAAGGGCAATTCATTTTTTACCAGCTAAAACAGAGTGAAATAGCTACCCTCTATTCCACTAGGTTTGCTGGTGGAACAAGGATGTCAGTTCCATGAAGAGGAGTAGAAATAAAGACGTGATAGTCTTGTTAAGGAATATGACAAGGGGCGCCTGGGACACCTGACCACCATCCAAATTTTCTATTACTGCAATCTCAAATCCTTTTTCAGTAGTAGATAGTACATAAAACATGTAACATAAATACAAACTACGAAAACTTCCTGTTGCTTCTCTTCTGCCTTTCTCCAAATTTTACATGTTTTTAACATGAAGAGAAATAACATTGAACTTGATATAGCTAGCCCTCATTGTATACAGCAGAAGTGTTCTCCAAAGCTATGTAAATCAAATATTTTCATGTATAAAGGGAATTCAGTATTCCAAGAAACTCTGAATAATATTGAACAACAAATAACAATTGCTTTTTTTTTTTTTTAATTTTTATTTATTTATTTTTCCCCCAAAGCCCCAGTAGATAGTTGTATCTCATAGCTGCACATCCTTCTAGTTGCTGTATGTGGGACGCGGCCTCAGCATGGCCGGAGAAGTGGTGCATCAGTGCGCGCCCGGGATCCGAACCTGGGCCGCCAGTAGCGGAGCATGCGCACTCGACCGCTAAGCCAGGGGGGCCGGCCCCTGCTTTTGTTTTTTAAAGTAACATGTATCAGCACTTTAATGTAGTCTGACCAAGGCCAAGTATAAACTCGTAGACTACATGGAAAAGCATTAATGGTAATCTTTCTCAAGCTTTCTCAGCTTATCTACCATATATTTATACTCAACCACCAAAAGTTCAATCTAACTCACAGACCTGTTTTAATCAACTGATCAATATTTACCCATCTCTTAATAAGTGCTAGGCTACTTTTTCATGTTTAATAGATCACACCTCCACAAACACACATATTTTTTCATATCAGTCTCTGTCTTCATAAAAAAAATTAAGCTAAATTTGAATGCTTTCTGGATTCTTCAGGTAAAATGAGGGAGTGGATCCCATTAAAATGAGGGAGTGGATCCCATTTTTTAAAAAGTGGTTAACTAAATGAGAGAATGAGTTTAACAGCACTTCTGACAACATTAAAGAAGCTGAGTTCTTATGAAGAAGCTTACTCTTACAGTCAGAGGAAGAAATTTAAGTTTCCCAAAGCTACCCTTCTTTATCATACTTCAAGTCATTTTTGGCACAGTATTAGATTCCAATCTTTGAGATTCTATAATATAATGGGAATTATATTATATTAAGAGTGATCTGAGGACATTATAAACAGTATGAAAGAGCTCCTCTTATACTTTTTGGCTGTTTTCCTATATCTTCCTATTCTTTAAGCATCCACAGACACTGAATGCTGAGGTTCTCTGAGAATAGTGTTAGTAAAAGACCTACTGACTCCTGCTCTAGGGGGAAAAGGAAATAGAAAAATCTGACCAATCACTAATCATATGTAATTTGATGCTTTCTTTATAAGTTAATCTTACCTTGAAATTGCTTAATATTGTGGTGTCAGTGGCAGTAAAACGCCTGTACTGGCACACAAACAAATAACAAGGAAACATCAAGTTCAGTGAATAAACCTTAATGTTCGACTTTTAGCCACAAAATGCTTCAACACTAGAACAATATAATCAACGCTAGCCACAAAACAACGTGAGGAAAACCAAGCCACGGAAGCGTTACTGACCAGGTGCTACATTCGAGTTGCCCTGAGATTTCAGTTGTGAAGACGGCAGCACACCCTGTGGTGTGTTGGTTCTGCTGTCATCCAAGCCCAGAGACAAGTCCTTTCTGGGGGCTTTAATTGTGGAAACATCATCAGTCATGCCCATCTGCTTCTGCCTTCTTCGTTTTTTACTCCATAACTCATGACAATCTTGCCATAAAGGAAGGCTGAAAATAAACAGTATTAAATTGTTTGTCAATGACATTTTTTGACAGCAACAAAAAAATGTTAATATTTACTACATGGCACCAAAGCTGCCACCCCACTCTCCTGCAAGTTGTTCTTGAAGACTTCATACATAAGCTTTGTAAACTTCAATAAAAATCATCCTTGATGCCCCACCTCCTTCAGGGCTTCACCTTTATAGACAGACTATTTTTCTGCAGCTTCTGAATAAGCAACAAGTAATCATTTGTTAAAACTATTAATGAAGAATATACGTTCATAAAAGTAGGTTAGTATTATCCTTGGTGTAATCTTTTAAAGCCAATTCTATCACAGTATATCATACACTGAATAGGATATGAAAAAAAGGGCAAAAAATATGCCATTTGCAGAAACTATAGACACAGGATTAAAAAGTAGTATAGGCTAGGACATAACATCTGTGAAAAACTTTCTAGTAAGCTTTTTACTTTTTAATACCCTCTTATTTGCTTTTATAATCAAATGCTCTAAAATTAAACTGATGCTACAGAGGAGTTTCAAAAATATGTAATCCAGGCTCATTACTCATCAACAAAGAGTTCTGAATAACTAGCAACTATCAAAATTACCCACAATTCTACCTTAATGTAATTTCATAAAACTGCAGAATAACTTTTGCTTAAAGAAAAACATAAATATTTGATTTATACATGTTTTCTCCTTACCCTAATGAAAAATCCAGTGGGAAGGTACTATTATATCTATTTTAAAGAAGAGAAAATTGAGGCTTGGAAAGGTTAATAAACTTGCCCAGAATATCTACAAATTCCCTTAAGCAGCCCCAACCTGGTGACAGATAGCTGTAGTCGTCAAACTGGCTATGTTTACCTCTAGGAATACATGAAGACTTTTATGGGGGTATACTTGGAATTGTTTTAAAAGAATTTCCATATCCATATGTCCTCTTTTCTAAAACTGGTCTTTGAGAATGGCCTGCACGTTCAGCAAGTTCTTTCACACCTCCTCTTTCACAATTCCTCTGATCTAATGTTATAAAATAAAGGCATATGCAACAATATGGTCGAATCTTAGCAATATAATATAATAAAAGTTAAAAAGGTCATTCCCAAAAGATTACATACAGCATGACACCCTTTTATATATTTAAAAACAACTAAAATTTTAAAATATAACTTTTTATGAGTACATATAGATGGCAACAAAAAGTATATACAAAAGAAAACAGGGATGATGATTACCTCAGGTGGAGAAAGGCAAGGGGATAGGTCGTGGTGGAGGAGAGGATATGATATGATTAAAGTAGGTTATTTTCAAGGTTGTAGCTTTTATTTGGTAGGTTCATGGCTGCTTATTAACATCATTTAAAATAACTAATTAAATTAAGTAACTAAAAGAAAAAAAAGAGAGCCATGCATGGACCAATGATGAGTGACACAAGGATTATGATTAAACCAAGTCTATGCACCTGAGGTCCAAAAACAAAACAAAGGCATACCTCTCAGCCATCTTACTATGGTGCATTGCCTCAGCGTGTAAAAACCTCCTGGAGTAACAAACAAAGGGACAGTTTGAAATATTTATCCTGGGAACCTTTAAGGCATCATAAACCCACCAAAGACTTTCCTTTCTCTGTGTGAGAGTGTGTGTGTGTGTGTGTGTGTGAGTGAGATGTGTGGGCTTAGCCTCTGTTGGGATATTCTGAATTCAGATATACTGCAGTACTGCAGAGTGGGGTAACTGAAGTGATTTCACCTCTTCCATCCTGATGTTCAGGGAATGCACTGCTCTTGTGGGAGAGTTCCATGAGAGTAAAGCAAAGAAATCCACTAAAAAGAGCTCTTGTTCCCTGCCACAATTTAAAGGTAGGAGATTCTTTATGGATGATCTCAACACTCATCTCTAAGAAAGACAAATATTACCCAACAAATAGGTATAATGGTATAGGTTAGTGACGCTGACTCTCAGATGCACCAGGAATGTTTTCCAGGATCACCCAATTTTCATGTGCTTTTCTGAAGGTTCAAATACTGGCTCAGCCACTTACTTACTGTGTCTCAACAGGCAAGCAACTTGATCTCTGTGCCTCTGTTTCCTTATCTTTAAAAATGGGATTAAAAATACAATCTACTGGGGCCAGCCCCATGGCCTAGTGTTTAAGTTTGGCACGCTCTGCTTTGGCGGCCCGGGTTTGTGGGTCAGAGCCTGGGCAAGACCTATACCACTCGTCGGTGGCTATGCTCTGGCAGCGCCCCACATACAAAATAGAGGAAGACTGCGTAGATGTTAGCTCAGGGCGAATCCTCCTCAAGCAAAAAGAGGAAGATTGGCAACATCTGTTAGCTCAGGGCGAATCTTCCTCAGCAAAAAAAAATATATATATACAATCTACCTTATGGGGTAAAGGTAATACTGTATGTTAACATATGTAAGCGCTTGGACAGTGCCTTTCACATAGTAGGCAGTATATGCACGTTTGATACCATTTATCATAATTTGATAAAGTAGTTTAAAACTATTTTTATCAAATCATATTATGAAATATTTATTCCAATTATAATTGATCGTATTTTATGAATTGTTTAATGCTTTTTACTTGCTGTTAGGAAAAAATAAAATTAAAGGCTGCCAGTCTAATTCACTTTTTTAGCAATGTATACTTTTTTCTTTTCATTAAATACATCAGAAAAGTTTGACAGAGCATCTAATATAATTGTTACTTTTTATTTTTTTTATACCTCACTCTCATTTGATTATTCCTAAAAAACTGATCATGAGTTTAATACATACACATTATTTCCCAAAGGAATAGCAAGCCTTTCTTCATACTCCTTACCTCATAAATAATTTATAATTTTAACTACCCATTACATATTACAAAATGAGAGATGTTATGTTGTTTATATAACTTTTTATTTAAATATTACATCAATATCATTATAATTTTGACCTGATTGCTTTAGTAATGTATCTAACAAGACATATCCCATAATTTATTACTGGTTTACATAATGTTCACCAAAATGTGTATTAACATGTTTATTTTTAATGGAAAAATGCAATCAGGTGTGTTCTGATAAAAATTAAGTGAATTTAGATGATGTGTTTGACAATATGGACAGTGGTTCCCATTAGGTTATGTGGTAGACATTTTCCATAAACAGAATGGGACACATCTATAGTTCCAAGGTTTTGACAAAAACATATATTTTAAAAATGTAATAAGAAACACAATTTAACAAATGGATTGGCAAAGTAGCACTGAAATAGTTGACTTCCTAACTTTTTCTAAGTATATTGAATCAAACAAGTGTTAATAAAAGAAAAAGTAACAGCTATAAGAAGAAGTCATTTAATAAGTATTGGTAAAGTTTCTTTGGTTTATTTTATCAAAATTTGAAAAAATAAATGATTAATGATTAGATAAAAAATCTTTCTGCAAGTCATGTGGTTTCCAATTCTTCACTGTCAAAAAAATTAAAGGAGGAAGAATCTTAAGTTGACATCTGAAAGGTCATTAAAATAATTTTGATGACAGATCACTATGTGATTTTTAAGACATGATGCGGAAGGAGTTCAAAGAAGTCCTATAACTATGACAAAACTCCATGCATTCTCAAAAGCTTATTTATAAGAGGTACTTATAAAAATAAAAAATAAAATTACGATTAATGTGGAATTATGTCTCATTCTAGAGTAAGTAATATTCATCAATAGCTGTGCAAATTACTTAGGGAAAAAAAATCTCAGCCCTATCTATCTCATTAGGTTGCATTTCCAACAAAATTTACTAATTTTTTTCTTTCTTTTTTAAACTGAAATATGTACGACTAATATTCGCAATGATAATTTAATCAAGAAAAAAGAGCTTTCTTGTCAGAGGAAATTTTTTTAAATTAAATTTCCATTTATATACAAATAATTGTTTTAAAGAAATACAACAGGGTAATCAATAAAATACTTTCAAACATAAATATGTTACATTAAAAACCTGAAGAAGCGGGGCCGGCCCCGTGGCTTAGCGGTTAAGTGCGCGCTCTCCAATGCTGGCAGCCCGGGTTCGGCTCCCGGGCGTGCACCCAAGCGCCGCTTCTCCGGCCATGCTGAGGCCACGTCCCACATACAGCAACTAGAAGGATGTGCAGCTATGACATACAACTATCTACTGGGGCTTTGGGGGGAAAATAAATAAATAAATCTTAAAAAAAAAAAAAACAAAAACAAAAAAACAAACCTGAAGAAGCAAAATAAGTTCAAGATGAAAAAAGAACAATGTCCCATTGTTGAAGAGTTTGTTCATACATTTTCTAAAGTGAATGTTGGTGAATATCAAAATGCTAAGATATTCTGATTCCACTGGATACATTTACAAGAGTAATGTAACTGCTCCATTTAAAAGTGTCAACATTTATGATACACTGAAAACTACATCTTTTGCAACTAGTTGAACTCTTGTTTTAAAAAGTTTAGGTATCAATTGAAAATGTGCTCGATACAGTTTTACCAGAATTCTTTCATGTGGACCACTTAAACCAAGAGATCAACTTAGTATTACAAATAATGGGAGAAAAATGTCACTATATTCCTCTTGATATAATACAGCAGGAAGCACACATCACTACCTAGGCAGTGTTCTTACCAAAAAAAAAAAGTTACTCTAATTCTGAAAGCAAACAAAGCCAGACTGTAGAATGTTTTACAAAACAGCTAGCTTGGACTCTTCAAAAATGTCAATGTCATAAAAGCCCCCTTAGTGATTAAAGACTGAAGAGACATGACAACTAAATGAAATGTGTGAGCTCTGAATGAATTCTTCATCCAAAAAAAGAAATAAAAAACAACAGGCTATAAAGGAACTTATCAGTTGGCCTGAATATGATGACCTACCTCATAGATATATAATATGCCCAATCTAAGCGATAAGCGGAAGAGCCAGGATGTGAACTCCAAAGCCCATGTCTGTTCATTCACAATAGGCTAATTGTATTATATGGAAACATTTTATTACTATAGGGATAGGCTTGCTTTTATGATGCTCATTATCATTTTTAAAATTACTAAGAAAATTCCTACAAGGTTTTTAGATCCTATCAAGGAGAACCAAACAGACTGCTTTATTCCCTCTCCTTTCCCCAAATCAATTCTAGAGAAATTACAGGAGCCACAAAGGAGTGAAGGGTCAAAAACCTAGCTATTCTGACTCCCAAGCTCTATGCATTTTCCCCCATCAGACAATAAATTCATTCTATACGAGCTTTTATATTCAATGACAAGGATTTTCTATTGTGTAGTATGCTAAGGAGTATTTCAGAACTTCTCTTTCATATTGGATTAACTTGAATGTGAGAGCTGGCTCCACCCTTGACTACATTTGTATTCTTGGGCAAGTTTCTTAACCTCTTTGAGCCTGCTTCCTCCTCTATAAAATGGTGATGATAATAATAATACCCACCTGATAGAATTACAAAGATTAATGTAATACGTGAAAAATGCTTAGCACAGCACTCAAAATTTTAGCTATAGCAACTAGCAGTAGCATAAGAGGTAGCAGTGGTAGAAGTAGTACTAGAATAATAGCAGCAGCAGTAATATTTTCTTAGAGTTGAAATACATTAATAAAATTACCTAGAGGAAGGCTGTTTTTGCTAATTCTATGGTTAGCTGAACATTAAAAGGTTCTGCATTCTAGATGTAAAAATTATGTGTACTACTGCTATTCTATTTCTTTTTATTTATTCTATTTCTTTTGAATTAACTAATCATGGAAAAACTTCTTTTTGTTATATAGAGATGTTATTAAAACTGTCCAGATTCTGCCTACATGGGATCTAATATAACAAAAAGTCACTTACTCTGGTGGAGGCATTTTTGAAGGTTCCACATCTCGTAGGAACTCGCACTGAAGAGCCTGTTCTGCAGTGCAGCGCTTACTAGGATCCAAGGCGAGCATGTAATCAAACAAGTCTAGTGCAGCTGCAGGAATACTGGCATGAGAGGATTACAAGAGTCATACATGTTCTTTGACACAAGTTTAAGGTTTCTTTAGAAGCTTATTTTAAATATCAGCATTTTATAACACGTTCGCAATACTTTATTCCAATAAATTCCAAATTCTACTTTGAAGAAATATTTTCACATAATTTTGTAACTATTATTCTAAATAATTTGGAATTTGGCAAACAACAGTGTATTTTATTACTCAATGGGCAATTTGCTGCTGTAACATAAATTAAGAACTGAATAGAATAGTCTCCTACAACAAAATAAAAATCTGAGCTGAATTTGAAAGCTGTTTCATTAAAATTTAAAATGATATTATTAAAGTTCTTTCACGTAAGCACCAAATCAAACACCCAACCCCAAATTACTTATTCCCTAATAATGGTGAAATGGTAATTTGCATGTAACAAAGGGAAATTCAAAATTAAATGATATAGAAGAATTGTGATAGGTCTACCTTGGGTCAATATAGAGTGACATTTAGAATTCACAAGAAATAGCGCAAAAAAAAAAAATTCAATGCAATATAGATATTTAAGCATCCCCTTCTTACAAAACAAATTCTTCTCTTAACTTTCGACGATATTGCTTCTTTGGTTTCATGGTGTTGAAATACGGTAGTTTGATTACATCAGGCCACACTGCAGGACATGGACTCCCACATATACGGCTAAATAATACACAAAAAGAAGAACATCACTATAAACTACATAGAAAAAATAATACATACTACTGCTATACAAAACATAAATTCATTTTTAAATACACAAAAGTTGAAGTTCTGATACAATGTATAAGAAGTTTCATTAAATATTTTAGTCATCCCAACTTAATTACTTGTTTTAAGAAATCAACTTACTTTCGGTGGATGCTTCTAACTCTCCAAACACCCCCAAAGAGAGTCTTCATATTTGCAAAATTAAATCTTAAAACACAGGTAACACTCAAAATATGTTGACCATATTTTGAACCAACAGAAAAAATTTTATGCCAATAAATTAAGGAACTAGAGTTTAGTATACATCTTTCTCTGGTTGTATCTGTACACCTCTTCTCATGAATATAAGGAAGTTTGCAATAATAGCAGGAATGGTTTTCCTACACTCAGGAAGGTAACTGTACTTGTAAAGACTGCTGCTGAATTTTATCAACAGGAGGACCCTAAAAGTAACATTCTTGAAACATACAAGTTCTTCAATTTTAGTGCCACTGATTTCAAGGTATTTAGAAATTTTAACTGCTTTACTCTCTGCTTATCTATACCTTGAAAACCCTCAGTATTTTTGTATTAATTAGTAAGTGCTTGTTATGGCAATTTGTAGAAGAAATGCTATAACAAAATAGGTAACTCCAGCTGGTAAACACTTGCAAACTAACTGATTTTGGTAATATACAGATGAAAAATTGGTTAAAGATGCTTAACTTGAGTATATCAAATCTCAAGGATAAATGTACACTGTATATAAAATTATCAGCTGCTCTTCATATGTAAAAAGAAAAGGTCCATGCATCACTGACTAAAAGTAAAAATATTCTATACACACATAAATGTAAATGCATGCACTGGTGTGTCTAAGCACGTGAGGACTACAGTTGCCAGACACTCTTTAGCTGAGCTTTAGAATGCCACCTCAGAAACATACATTTAATGAGACAACCTCTCACGTTTTTTAAGCTGTATGTCACTGAAATTGTGTTTGTTTCAATATATTTTAGGATATTTTTTAACCCAAGCCTTTTAAAAGGTATTAAGACCTTATTCCTTGTACATTCCAGTCTCTTCTTCCTTACAACCCGGTTTTCACAACCTCCTCAAAAATATAGTGGCTTTCATAGGAAAAAGGGCAAAACTTGGGAGCATGGCTTTCTATGATCTGCTCCCAAACTGCCTTCCTAGTCTCATCTCCCAGTTCATCTCTCCCCACAGAACAACCACTCCTCCATGTCTACCCTCATATTCCTTCTCCCCATATTCTACCTAGCTGAATCCTTTTCATTACTCAAGATTTAGATCAAAAGTAATCTATTCAACGAGTTCTTCTGTATCCCCAGTGTTACTCAGAATGGTCACTTGTTGCATGCTGTTTCTTTTGACACTATTTCATCCTGCTTTGTATTTTAGTTGTTTATATGTCTGTTTCTTTTACTAAATTATCATTCAGGAACCATGTCCCTCACTTTTGTATACTTTCCCAAGTAACTACATAAACATAATTAATTAATCCCAGGCAGACTGATGTGTATTATAACTGAAGTATAAAGTATATTGGAATGAAGGAAATGAAGGATACTTTCAACTGCAGAAATACAAGAAAATGGACTCAAGTTAGGGAAGGGTGCAGAATTTTGGCTATAACTCTAAGATTAAGTAAATAACAGGCAGGTGGGAAAGGGAATAAAAGAAATATGTTACTGGCAAAGAGAAGAGCACACGCAAAGGTGTGGAAGTAGCAAAGTGTAGGCATTTGGGAGGAAGACTGAGGAAACCAATATAGATAGAATTTAGGGCTCAGGGAGGTTTAGCAGGAGGCACAGACCGGGGTCACACAATACAGTTTTAAGAGGCAGTTTGCCTAACTACAATGAAAAGACTTTGAAAACAAACTTCAGAACTGAATCCTGTATATGATATTCGTCAAATTGCACACTGCGTAAGAATCTGTTTCTTCTTCTGTAAAATGGAGATTAATTTTACTTTGAAGCTGTGAAAGTGAATGAGCTTCCATCTGGCCCATTAAATGCCTTATAATGAATTTCATTACCTCTTAGCTAAAAGTTTCAATTATTTTATTATACATGTTGTGAAAAGACATGAGTAGTGAAGTTATCTAATTGGTAGCAGCATACAGGATGGAATAGACATTCTGAGGCAGGGAAAGTTAACTAGAAACTAGGAAAACAGACATGACAGCAATTGTTGATAACTGCGTTATCAGCAAAATCTGTGCCTGATGGCTAGCCAGCTATACCAAAATCATGTACCAAAGATGTCTTGAAATGCATCATATACTAAATCCCCAAATATCTGAGGTCTATTTTGGGATCTATTCTGATCTACTGATATATCTACTCTGGTGTCAATACCATATGGTAGCTTTATATTTTTTATAAGGCCGACAGGACAAACTCCTCCATCTACCCATTCTTTGACTTCCCAGAATCTTCTTACAGATGAAACGTAGAATCAATACTGTCGTCCTCCAAAAGTACGAGAACCCTACTGGGATTCAACTACTGCTCTGAATTTATAAATTAACTTAGAAAAGATTGCTATCTTTACAAAATTTAATATTTCTATCCCAGAAATGCTCAATTTTATATTTCTTTTTTATATATATTTATTCAATTAGATCTTGTATTTTTTTATGGGTTTTATTTTTTGCTTTTTTCAATGTGTTCATATGCCTATTATAAATTTCCTAAGCAGTAACTAGGAAAGTTTTGTTATAGGAATGGTTCAAAATTTGACATACAAAATTTTAGGTAACCACCTGAGATTCTATGGTTCATAACAGTTTTAGTAGTTGTTTCTTTGAGGCTTTCCAGGTTTACAACCATATCACCTATAATCAGATTCATATATATGTTTTTTTGATGTGCATATCTTTTTTTTTTGTGAGCAAGATCAGCCCTGAGCTAACATCTGTGCTAATCTTTTTGCTGAGGAAGACCGGCTCTGAGCTAACATCTATTGCCAATCCTCCTCCTTTTTTATTTCCCCCAAAGCCCCAGTAGATAGTTGTATGTCATAATTGCACATCCTTCTAGTTGCTGTACGTGGGACGCGACCTCAGCATGGCCAGAGAAGTGGGATCCGAACCCGGGCCGCCAGTAGCGGAGCACGTGCACTCAACCGCTAAGCCATGGGGCCAGCCCTGCATATCTCTTTATCATTTTGGTATGTTACATTATGTGGCAATTTCCAAAAATGTTAAAATGATAATGGTGCTACACAATACTGGGTAATTTTGTTTTGTTTCTGATTTTAATGGAAGTACTTTCATTCTTTACCACTGGGAAGGATGATGACTTCTGGTTTGAGAAACACAACAGATAAAGATATTCACAGACACAGACACACCAATTTACACATATAATTCTGTTAAGAAAGCGTTCATTTTTATTCCTTTTTACTATGAGTTTTATTTTTCTGGCTTCTAAATTTTAAAAGGATAGTTTTATCAGTTTGAATTGCAGAAACTTTATTATAATCATCATCTGCATTTTCTTCCCTGGCCTACTAATGTCATGAATTATATTAAGAGATTTCCTAATATATATTCATCCTTACATTCAAAAGAGGAATACCTCCTAGTAAAAGTACTACTATTTTAGTGTAATGCTATATTCTACTTGTTAATTTAGATGTTTTGCATCAATATTCATATGTGAGATTGCTATATAGCAGCAGTTCTCAAAAATGGGGTCCAAAGACCCTGGTGTCCCCTAGACTCTTTGGGGGTCTGGCAGATCAAAGGTATTACTAAGACATTATTTGCCTTTTTCAATATGTTGACTTTGCACTGATGGTACAAAGGCAATGGTGGGTAAAACTACTGACACTTTAGCATGATTCAATGCAGTGGCACCCAACTATTAGCAGTAAGTACTCTTTGCTACCACACAATCAGAGGGGGTGGGGGGCAATTTCATTTAAGAATGTACTTCTTATTGTTCGGGCTGGCCCGGTGGCGTAGAGGTTAAGTTTGCACGCTCCAATTCAGCGGCCCGGGGTTCGGAGACTGAATCTCGGGTGCGGACTGATGCACCACACATCAAGCCATGCTGTGACAGTGTCCCATATACAAAATAGAGGAAGATGGGCACAGCTGTTAGCTCAGGGCCAATCTTCCTCAACAAAAAGAGGAAGACTGGCAAAAGACGTTAGCCCAGGGCCAGTCTTCCTCACCAAAAAAAAAAAAAAAAGAGAGAGAGAGAGAGAGAGAAAGAGAATGTACTTGTTGAAGCAGTAAAATTATTGTTATTAAATCCTAACACATGAAGGTACATCTTTTTAATATTCTTAGTGATGAAATAGCAAATACTCATAAAATACTTCTGCTGCACAACAAAGTCTGATAGTTATCTTGAGAAACACTCGTGCAATTATTTATCTGAGTTGCAAGCTGAAGTAGTTGCTTTATTCATGGACCACCATTTTTACCTGCAAGAACAACTATGGTCATTTCAGACTTGCGTATCTGCCAGACATTTTCTCAAATATGAACAAAGTCAGCTTGTTACTTCACAGAAGACAACTGCAGTATTTACTGTCGATTATAAAATTTGAGCTTCCAGGAGAAAACAGAATACTAGAAAACTTATATTTACACCATGAACTTGACAGCTTTACAATAAATACCTAAAGGTTTTTCTGTTGAGATTAGTGGTGATAATAAATATTATATAATGAAATGTTACACTTGGAAGCTCTGCTCGGTTCATCAATCCAATATTTTCTAATTGACCAATATAAAATGTTACAAAATCATCACAGGTAAAAGATCCATCCAGAGTGCAAAACCGATCAATGGATTTCAATATATTATAGTACAAAATATTCCTTCATATGGTTTCAGATTGCACATTATAACTAATCTATAAAAAATTACCACTTATTTACTGCAGTTTCAAAGAAGAATAAGCACAATTATCTGAAAAGACTATTGA